CTCACCTTCTAGTCTATTTGCTGTTGTGTTTTTCTATATTGTTTCTTGTCTGTAGAGATGATTGTCTTTTGATTCCAAACACGTCATTTGATTTTTTTTTCTTGCTCACTATGTGGTTAAAGCAGATGCCATATTGACCTTAAGATGCTCTGATCTTTTTCTAATTCTATGATGGTGGATTATTCACTGCTCTCCCTCTCTCACAAGCCATTCCTTTTGACTCTCAAAAGGCTGTTTGGGAAGTCAGAAAGCCGTGGATTGGCTGCTTCTTCTTTTCATTTTCTCTCTAATGATCTGCTTATCCCAAAGCAATGTACATGCTTCTAACTGAGAAGGTAAGAGGTCACAACACAAAGGAAATGATAAAAAGTAAATGTTCAAAAATTACTATTTTGAGATGCTTTCTGTATATGCCCCTAATGAGGACTATACCTCAAAGCCTGTGTTAAGGCATTCTATGTGCCCAAAACCCGAGCATAGTCTAACCTAGAAATAACTACTGATGAATTTAATATCAATTATTGACTTCTTCCAGTATCTTCTCTTCCCCCTTGCTCTTTGAGTCCAGAAACTTGAGAAATATAAAAAGAAAAATTAAGAATGCTTTAATTCCTGCTGCTTCCATGGAGAAAGAAACAAGGAGGAGGAAAGTCTGACATGAAGAAGGAAGAGAAGATAGAAGCAATCAGCTTCATGGGGACTTTGAGCTCAGGAAGATTAAAGAGATGACACCTACACAATAGGATAGAAGACCTCCAACTAGCTGAGAATTTATGGCTATGGACAATGATGTTCTGACAACCTAAAATACAGACCTAGAGAACTGGATGAGCAGTTCATGGCCTATTGAAAGTCTGGATACAATCCCAGCCAGCAGCAGCACTTTGCAGATCTTTATAGATGTCTAAACAATCATCTACTACAGGATGTGATTCTCTGTTGGCAAGCATTCAAAAGTCCAAGAATCAAGAAATATAAATGGAATCAGCACAGCTCACTATTACTACTTATGTCCCACTGGCAAAAGTGTTCCTTCTTATGTCTTTAGCTTTATGCTATCCTGATCTAGAGGTCTTCTTTCAAAAGGGAGAAATTCTTCTATCAGGAGACCCAACATGATTCCACTGAAGTAGATGTCAGAACTGGCCACTTTGGATTCCATCTGTGTCTGAGTCAACATAAAGGAGAGGATGATTGTGCTGATTAGGTGATTACCATTGATTATCATGGGGAGTTTGGCTTACTGAAACACAAGGAAGTGAGAAACAGTATTTCTCATGCATAGGCAGGAGAGTTCTTAGGGATCTTACAGCTGAGATTAAATCAGAAGAAAACTGTTAACAGCATAGTTAATTCAAGACTGCTAATTGCTAACATCTTCAGGAATCAACATTTGGGTCAGTCCCCCAGACAAAAGACTATGACCAGGCAAGCAGCTTGCTTAGGGCAAAGGACCATGACTAGGTGACGTGCCTATTAATGGCAAACAAAATATGGTAAATAGAAAAGAGTACATAGAAATTCTAGCTATGTGATTGAACAGTGGTTCTTCACCCATGGGTGTGACTCCTTTGATAAATCTCTAGCTCCCAAATATTTACATTGCAATTCATAACAGCAGCAAAATTATAATAATGAAGTAGCAATAAAAATAATGTTACGGTTGGGGTCAACACAACATGAGGAACTGTATTAAAAGGTTGCAGCATTAGGAAGGTTGAGAAGCACTGATTAAGTCTTAATCAAATGTAGAAAGTAAGATCTTAGTAGTTATTTTGTTAGATGTATCTTTATGTATGTATGTAGAGAGCAAATTTTTTTATGTGTGTACATGAATATATTTGTGTGCCACAGGCCAAAATCAGTTGTCTTCCTCAATTCTTTTCTACATTATTTTTTGAGATAGAGTCTGTCACTGAACCTGTGGCTCATTTAGACTCCTGCCTCCAAACCTTTAAGATCCTCACATCTTCACCTCTCCTACTAGGACTGTAGGTATGCTACTGTACCCAGCTTCTTGGGTGGATGCTAGAGATGCACTGTCAGATCTTTATCCTTGCACAGCAAGCATTGTATTGACTGAGCCATATCTCCGGGAGAGCAAGAATCTTTTTTTCTCTCCTCTTTGCTCTCTTGTCATAGCACATAGGATGCACTATAATTAGCCCTAGAACTCTATATTTAAGTTTCCATCTATCGAGAAGCAACAGTGTACATCACCCAAGGACTTTCTGGACCCTTTGTGGAGAAACTGAGCAGTTTCCACTGCAAGTAAGATAACTGTAGTTTGTGAGAACTATAACTTTGTTATTGTCTTTCTTTGGATATTACATACTTTTAAGGACGTATTGCATCTACCAGGCTGGCAAGAAAAGGACTATAAAAATTAGCTTTATATGTTAACTTAGCTTGTCTCTGGTTGCCAGTTATTCAATTAGTCACTAATCTGAGTGTATCTGACTAGTACAGATCAGCAAAGGAGAAAGAAAACCCAACAGTATAACTTTTCTTGTTCTTTTCAATAAAAGCATTAATTTTCCCCAAGTAGGTCAATGGGTTAGCAGGTAGTAACAGGTGCTTTGTGTTTAATCTTCACCATGATGTGTATGAACGAATAACAGGAATACAGTGAGCACAGAATTAACTTGAAGTCCTTTGAGTACCAATGTTATTATGATCCTAAAAGGTACAGTTGCAGATACCATCATCCAGAATGTTGAAATCTTAATGGTCCAAAATTCCTAAAGTCTCTAAATATTACAATCTCAAATGATTAAATTGCCCAGTTGTAGTTGGATTTTCTTAGACAACCAATCCACAAATAATGACTTTAACTTATTATTGGTTATGAAAGCTTGACTATTAGCTTAGGTTTGTCCCTAGCTGTTATAACTTAAATTAACCTGCTTTTATTAATCTATGTTCCATCATGTGGCTTGGTTGCCTCTCCTTAATACTGTATATATGACTTGTTCTATGTCTTGCTGGCATCTCCCCACCTCTCTTCTTCCCAGATTTCTTTTTCTTCCCAGAAATCCCATCTATTCCCTCCTGCCTAGCTATGCCTGCAGCACCATGGAGCCAGAAACTTCTCAGAACTGGGGTGGATAGACCAACTCCAGACCTGTGTCCACAAGCATGAGGCTTCACTGTCACTGACCAGAAGTGGGTGGAGTCAGCTGGCAGGTGATGTGCTAAGCTAGCCAAGTGGTAGAGAGCCTAGCAGGCTAAGGTTTGGTTCACCCAGTCAGAGAATGCTGCAGGCACTTAGTAAAGCCATATCCAAACACAGAAAACCTCAAAAAAAAAAAAGTACAGTATGCTTTAAAAAGTGCTTAGATGCTGAAGAAAGGAAAAAATGAGTATAGACAGTCATAAAAATAGTTAAAATAAATAAAATAGTTTATTGTATATAGTTTTACTGTTAGAATTAAAGCCTTTCCTTTTTGATTGATAAAAGGAAATGTTGTAGGATATTTGTATACTGTGTGAAGATGTGTTGCTGGGATTGGTTTAATAAGGAGCTAAATGGCCAATAGCTAGTCAGAAGAGAATAGGTAAGACTTCCAGGAAGAGAGAGGACTCTGGGAAGTAGAGAGACAGAGACACAGAAGAAGTCAGACATATAGTACAGAGGAGAGGTAACAGAGCCATGTGGCAAATTAGAAATTAAAAAATATGAAATCTTATAATTCAAGTTATAAGAGCTAGTTGGTAAGAAGCCAAAGCTAAGGATGAACTTTCATAATTAATATTAAGTCTCTGTGTCATTACTGGGGAGCTAGAGGCCTCCCAAAGGAAAGTCTGACTATTTTGGAGAAAACTTGCACACTTAATGTTAAACTACAGAAAGTCAAAATCTCAGGCATTCCAGGTCCCATTGGGTTTTGAGGGAGGCTCCATGTGAACAGTAGAAAGCCAAATTCTGGGGAAAGGACTGATGCGAGTTTGATCACCTGTAACAGTTGCCAATGTCTTCCCTTGTATGTTATTCCCCCCCCCCCTTTACATAGAACACTAGGAAAACTTTATTACTCTGCGATTAAAAGAATTTCAAGATCTCACAAACTTTGATCGAAAGATATTAATGATACAGAATTTCCCTTGCTGTTATAAAATACCTTAAATGGGGAATTATTCTTGGTTAGAGATTTGACTATTGAAAAAGACAGATTCCATAATTTTACCATTAAATCTGATACAAAAAATTAATTTATGCATCACTTTGGCTAATAGACAACACTTTGACGCTTTCACAAATTTCGCCACTGTTTTTAACTGATCCATAAATTCATGACTGCAGTGATTAGTTTTATTTATTATCCTGACACAATCTAGAATCACTCCAGTAGAGATTATTAATGAGGGATTAGCCTAGAGGCCTGTCTGTGGTGATGGCGGTAGGGTGGTTGGCTTACTCAGGGTAATTGAGGCAGAAACACTTGATTACTGTGAGTGGCACCATTCACTGGACAGGTAGGTGATCGGGTGATCCTAAACCATGGGAGTGGGGAACGTGAGCTGAATGCAAATATGCACGTGTTCATTCTTGCTCTGTTCTTGAACATAGATGTGACTAGCTGCTTCAAGTTCCTGTGGCCTTCACTTCTCTGTTGTGATATGTTACCAGGCTCTGAGAGTTAAAATAAACTCTCTATTAGTAGCTTTTATTGGGTTATTTTTTATCACAGCAACAGGAAATGAAACTTAGACAATTCCATTAGACCTGAATATTCTAGAACACATTTTTTTTTGTAGTAGTGGCTGAAAAATGCAACATCCTCTAAAAATATATATTGGAAGAGTGTGGAGTTTACAGAAGAAAATGGATTTTAATTAAATCTGCAGGTCATAACAATAGATTCCGAGTTAGATGCAATTAGGCATCTGAAACCGAATTTCAGAGTATTGTCAATGAAGTTTGTTTTTTTCTGTTCATTTACCAAAAAATTTAAACTGAACCTATTGGCCACACAACATAGAACACACAAAAACTTAAGTTAAAATTTAAGTTTTTGTGTGTTTGACCCTATGGAGCTTTAATTAACAACTTAACATTTTAAATCAAACCACCTACTGGATCAAACACACAAAAACTTAAGTTTTAAAATGTCATTTGCCTCCACTGTCATTCTTTTCCTCTGATGAAATTCCAGGAGCTCTTAATAGATTTAAGCCACAGAAATATATGCCTAGTAGCATTAAAAGACACTTATGTAACAGTATAGGTGATTGAATTTTAGTACTGTTTCCACCAAATTTGTTGTCTGTGCATGAGTGCACAGGGAATGGACTTCTGTGTAGCCCAACAATCCTGAAGCAGGCACAGAAGGTGGGAAGACTTAATAGGTGATACCAATTCAATGCTCATGGGAAGAAAATGAGTATAAATAAATTTGCCAAAGAAGAGATATGCATTAAAAAAGCAGTTAGCCACTGATATGCAAGACTTGAAAATATAGATGTTCATGAAAGTCAGTGAATCTTCTGAGAACCACTGTACAATGCACAACAAGGTCTATGATCTGAGGGCCATTAACTTTTCATGCATTTAATTATTTTTGTTGTTGATTGTTTAGTTTTTTCTTTGAGTTCTAAATTGTTAGCAGTTATTATGTAAGTCATTATGTTATATATTTATCATTGAATCATTTTCCATATTGGAGTCATTCCTAATTATGCAATGAATTATATAAGGACTTTTAGGGATGTTCAATACAGTATTCTGAGTATTTGACTCCATAAAATAAAAATGAAATACAATAGCAGCTTTGTGTGCAGGCCTCATTTGGGTATCTATGAAAGCTGAAAATTTTCTACTAAATGGAGTCATATATTTTTTCTACTTGTACATTTGCAAAAGATGAAGCAACTTGAGATCTCAGCTCGATGGGTGCTGACTACACAACGGTGAACATTACAGGTTTTAACTCATCTTGTCAAAACATGTAACTTATCCATCATGGTATAGGTATGTACACTGCAGTGATGAAACTGGGCATCCTCAGTTTCCAGGCAGTGACAAGCACTCATGAATTTTGTTTATGTCCTATTTCTTTATGAACACAGTACATCTTCTCATGGCACTATCCACAAGCTAGTGTCGTGAGCATGCATACTTGCTTGCAGAATGTTTGTTTTTATTGTATGTTGGTTGTGTAAAATGCCCCAGGAAGTATCATACTATATATCTATGTTCTTTAAATTATGTTCCTTTGAAATGTAAATGAATTGTTATTAAAGAATTTTAAATTATTTTTCTGAATTATATACTTAGGATTTGGGTCTTTGATGATTTTTTTTTTTACTTTAGAGATTTCATACTTTAATGTTTTGATTTTTTGGATGTTCAGCATTCAAGATTGTGATATTCATTATATCTCTAGGTAATATGGGAAAGCCTTTCACATAGAAAATTGAGGTTTTGGGTTTAAACTCCAATTGTCTGATTTCAAAACTGAACCTTTCACATGGAGACTTTTGTACTCCCTCACTCACAAGGCAGATTTCAAGTACAACCATGGATGGCATCTCTGCAAATGGCTCTGAGTTTCCTCTTCAGTCTTCTCTTCTGTAATCTCTTGTCTTATTCTCAGAAAACACATTGTTTTCTGCATCAACTCTCCTTTAAAAAATAGCATTAGATATTGGATAACAAGTTGATGTGCTCTTCCCTGGGGAAGACTCTTTATCCTGCTTCCAGCATGTCTTCATTGCCCATGGCTCTCTGTGCAGGGCTGAGACCTTCGGGGCATTCCCCATCTGCTTTAGCACGTCTAGTGTTGTAGTCCTTGTTCAGTTCCTGAGAGGCAGTCATGTTGGGATAACTTTACAGATGTTGCTTCTGACATTGCTAGGAGACAATCTCCCAGAAAACTCCTTGAAAACATGCATGTAAGTAACATTATACAGACTTGACAGGTTATATTTATGTATTTAGAAACATATGTGTCTATACCTACACATATGTAAAAACAATTAATTAAAAAGGAGTCTGTGAATTTGAAAGGGCACAAAGAAGTATATGAAAGGGTTTAGGAAAAGGAAAGAGAAGAAGTAAATGATGTAATTATATTATAATGTCAAAAATGTACATAGTGCTAGGGGCAATAGAGGGACAGCTGAGCACATTAGAGAACTTGTGACTCTTATAGAGGACCCCGGTTATAATCCTAGCACAGACATGGGAGTTTACAACCGTTCATAACTTCAGTTTCAGGGCCCAGACAACATTTTCTGGCCTCTGTGGCTACCAGGCATGCATGTATTGCATATATGTACATGAAAGCAAAACACTCATACACTTCAAATAAAATAAGGGCCTTAGACCTGCCTCAACAAAGTTAGAAAATGAAGTTCTTTAATTTCTGCTATTGTTTTGGCTTATTATTTTGTTTTTGAGACAGGACCTGCTGTGTAACCCTGGCTGGCCTGGAATTCACTACTGCCTGCCTTTGCCTCCTGAGTGTTGGGATGTAGGGATTAAAGGCCTGAACCACCACATCCAGCTAAAATTTAAAAATGTTTAAGGCTCAGTTTTATTGTCTATGAAGTTAAGTTTTAGTGAGGAATATGGCAAAGGTCAAAAACAGCCATTTTAAATTCCATACGTAGATACGATTTCTGATTCTTTTCTCAGAGATCCTTAGTGAATTCTGCTTCCCCTCTACTCACAGGCTGATATCGGAGTCAACAGAAGAACTGAGCCACATCAGTACACAGCATTCATGTTATGTTCCTTAGGGTTCCTGATGTCAACCCACTTATTCTAGTAATGTGGGACTTTTGAATTCTAATCTTCAATATCTTTGGAAGTGAGGGCCAAAGAAGTGGAAAGGGAGTAGGGAAGGAGAGCAAGCAGAAAAATAATAAACTCTCATCATAATGTTCCACTATTGCTTGTTGTTGATTTCCAGAAAACTCTGGAATACCAGTAGTGAATTACTCAAACAATAAGTTATGCTTCTCATCCATAATTTTAAGAGAAATAATGAAGTCATGTATCTGATTTATCTAGGGCTATTTTCCTTTCCTTCTTTACATTTTTAATATAAATAACCCCAGAACATTTGGAGGTATTGAATGGGACCAGTAGCTGCCTAATGAACCACAGGAGCCCTACCTGTCAGTGAGACAGAGGAAAGAATGTGGAGCTGAGCCGCTCTGACAGGGGGAGATGGCGGCTCAGCCTCTGCAACAGGAGTCCAGACAATTAGTGCATTCCTGGGATTTGAGAGGCTTGAACATAAGGCTAAAAAGGTGAGGAAATAAAGGAAATGAAAGCACAGTTCTAGAAGAGTTTCCACACACTTCAGCTTCAAATTTGCTCACAGAGATTATGGGCTCCTCTTAGCTTGTGCTGGCTTCTGTGTGAGACTCCTGATATGGTACAAATCTGCTGGTAGGTCTGCAATCCTACTCTCTTCTAAATCCAGACCTTAATGCCCAGAGGAGCCAAAGCTATAAGCAGCATGTTTGGCCTTGAACTTCAAGACTTTATTGGTGGAAATAGGAACACTTGAGGAGATACTGCCCCTCTCAGTGACTGTTGTAAATCAGGTTCTCCATATAAACTTGTATTCTCTTGGGAATAAAAATTGAACCTGAATAGGTAGGTGGATGTCATAGCATTATTATGCAAAGAATCTAATAGTACCCAAAGAAAAGCCTCAGAGGATTTCTTGTTTGTTTTTATCTGGGAGTAGGATGGATGGTAGGGTAGAAGTGGTTCCTCTGTGTGGCTCCAGGGGGCAGCAGCTTCTTGGGCAAAGGGAGCCAGGGAGGAATAAATTGCATCTAGTGGATGCTGACACCTAGTGTCTTAAACCCCTTAGAAAGGAGAGAGACCCACTAAAATGGACAGCTCTAAAGAGAGCTAAAATCCTCAAAAATCACATGTCAATTCAAAAGAAATGATGGCTTTTGGGAGATCCTCAGAACATGAAAATCACTGATGTTAAGAGAGTATTTCTCTTGAAGGGTTTTCCTTAGATTTTCCTGGATGAGATTTGGTGAGAGCAGATTTATTTTTAACAAGTGCACACACATGGCATCCTCTTTCTTAGTGACAAGAACTTCTCATTTTTTTCCAAAATGTGCCTGGCAAGCCCTGCAAGCCAGAAAAAAAAACGAGACTAGGAGACCTGCTGTTCCGTGGTGCATGACAGGCAACAGAGGAAGCCAGTCTGGTTTCCCTCTCAGGACTGATTCAGGGGAGAAATGCTTCATTCACATTCAGTCCACACTCCAGAATTTCTTACCCAGTAGTAAATCTGCATCTTTACTCTATTTTCTTCTTTTCATTAGTGGAAAAGCAGGAAGAAAAGTTGCTTCATGCATAAGACTTCTGATAATTCTATCAGGATAACCAACATTTTGTTGTTCTTCATCTTCTTTCCCACATGTGGCTGTAAGCCCAGTGCTTGGAGCATGAGCCCTTGAAATTCTAGCAGCCAGGAAGTTAAGATTTCTGACAGAATGAATATGCATGGCACACATAAACTACAATTTATTAGGCTGCTTCACTGGTCATTATTGAGATTTGATTGTAATGCTTAGTGGCATTAACATCCTCTCCACATCCCCCTAACAACATTTATGGTCAGTAATAATATTAGCTCAATCCTTGAGCCTTGCTCTGCAGAATGAAGCAATCTGAGCTCACCTCATTACTTCTAACAGGGCTCCTGTAGTCATGTCACACTCCACTGACAAGCCAGGCAGAATGACATCTTTTAAATATTATCTCTGACATATTTCTTTGAAATGCTAGCCTTTCGATTAGTGCTATACACCAGAAGTGACAGATTCTAAGAGTCACTTCTCTAAGGGAGCCTAGTAATAGGTGACCCACCAACCTAGTGGGCTAGAGAAAATATCCATGAATAATTTCACTACAGCCTGTTTGAAGATGTTTCCACAGGACAGGCAGGCACTGGTCAAGGTACCCACATATCTCTCTTTTTGACATTGTGTTCCCATTTTCCAGCTCCTGCATCCTTTATTACTAAAGGCTACCTCCTTCCCCCACAGGCATTACAGATACCCAGAGTTTTGTCCCACAGGAGCTCATAGGTGATAACCAATTAGTACAGGACTGCATATGCCTGTCTCCTTTGCCTTTGGGACACACAAACTGACATATAATTTATACTGCAGAGACCTAGTGGGATCAAGCTGAGGTTGAGACTTCACTCAAAATCACACCCATGCTTGGTTTCTTCCCCTCCCTGACTAATTCCCACAATCCTTTACAGATCTCTCCAGGGAAGTCTTCTGTAATAAATGACTTGCCAGGAATGTTTGGCTCACAATCTGCTTTGGGAAGAGCAGGACCTCAGATGTATCTGGAGACTCCCGAACCCAGCTGTGTGAATCCTCATAACTATTCTGCTTGGGAATTTGCTTGGCTATCACAGAAACATCTAGGATCACAAATCACTTGGATTCCCACACATCCAGTTCCCCTCTTCACCCCTGATCAAGGCCCAGGATCCTTCAGCAGATTGGACCCTGTCAAAGAAGGGAATCAACATGTTTCTGGCTGCTTGACATTGTCAGTTGCGTTCTTAATTCCAGCTTTATGTTCTCACCCATCATTTTAAGTATGTGTTACTAGATCTGTTTTATAGTCAAGGAAACTGGAGTTCAGAGAGGTTATAAAAACTGAACAAATTCCCACACACTAAGACACAACTCGGGATTTTAACTTTAAACTTCAAGTTCAGTGAATTGTGCACAAGCACAGCAACTGGCCTTGACGTTCCCACCTGAGAGTAAATAATGGTCCGAAGAGATCACATCACCATTGCATCGAGAATCAGACAGAACCCAGGCCGTTACAGCACCATGACGATGACTAAGTGCCACGATAATGCCTAAGTACAATGACAATGACTAAAGCAGCCCTCCCTTCACTCCTGTGAGTCATTGTTCTTTTCCAACTGTGGCCTAGTTCAGGTTAATCATTCTAACTCCTAGATAAATGCATCCCAATTTCTTGACAAAATCCAATCTAAAACTAGGTCCCTGCTTTCTTATTTTCCCCTTGAAGTTATTTCAAGTCTAGTCTGTTCTCAAGATGCTCCCAGACTCCACTGACCTTCACTTTCTTTTCCTGCAGCACCCTAAGGGGCTTAATTATGTTGACATCAAAGATGTCCCTGGTGGCTTAATTGTCTGCATTTCTTGATTTATCAAGTGTTTTCCAATATAATTTCTCCATAGAAGAAATATGCTATTGTCTAGTATCATATTTCATGAAATGTTAGACTTTATTTATTGTAAAGTGTACATGTATTGATAAAAAAAAATGTTTTAAAAATGTTGCTTTAAGCCATGACACCATTATTTTATGCTAGTCCCAAGCAATGCCTAAATCAGTCACATTAGATTCTTGTGGCTTTAACTGTTTCACATATTCCAAGGATGTGATCATGTCTTCTGAGTTCGGTTGCGTTAGTTGTCTGGGGACACAATGTTTTGCTTGTGCCTTTGTAATAAAATTTAACTACTGTGCTTGTGAACGTCTTCCTTTTTAGAAAACCTGGTGTTCCTCTGCATGAGAACAATTTCATTATTCCTCCAAAATCAAGTATTTGCTTCATTAATAATAAGTTTATACCCCAAAGCCCCATTCTTGTCCCTTCTGTTTTCATTTCAATGTCCAGTTACTGATGGCAATTAAACAAAACAGAGATAACACCTGGACATGGAACAGGGCAAGGTTGTTAGGTCCTGATTTTTACCTGACCCAAAGATATTGTTAGAAGCAAAATGGATCCCAGTTTGAGCTATACTAAAGGGGAGAAAACACACATCTTAGTATTAATAAAATGCAAGAATGTAGCTGTAGATGTAGTTTGTCTCTTGAATAGAGAATCTCACTAACATATTACAAGTAAAAAAAATCAAACTAACTTTTTAAAGAGATACACTTAATTACCAATTGATGTGTGAGTACACATGCACATGCCACAGTGAACATGTAGCTACGAAAGGACAACTTAAAGAGTGTTTCTCTCCTCCCAACATGTAGGTCCTGGAACTAAAGTCAGATTTTAAGACTTTGTAAAAATGTTCTTTAGCCATGAGGACATCTCATCACCTAACACTTACTTTCTAAAGTATGATAAACAAATAAAAGAAGTGTAGAACTTTCTCTAAAACACTTGTAGGCAAATATTTTTTCTTGTTTTTGTAATAAGAAAATAATACAGTTCTATGCCAGACAAAATATTTCTAAGTGCTATATCTAAGTAGTGATTGCGATACTTGCCATTGGCTTTAAATGGGTAATATTTGTTCTCACTATATAGAAGAACATTCCATGTAATTGTTATAATGTGAGCATTCTATCCATATTGATAGGTGAGCAAAGGGAATATGTGTGAGATGAATATGTGAAATGGAGGAAGATTCTTCTTGAATCCATCCCTTACCAAGAATCCATCCAACACAAGTAGCTAATCCTTCTACATGATCAAACCTTGGTACACGTATTAGAAGTTCTTGGTGCCCTTTACCTGGGTTCTTTACCCATCCTCCACCTGCTGTGATTTCTGATGGCTCAGAATAGACCTCTTCTACAATGACCTTTGTCATCTGGGATCACTTCACATATTGTCAACTAATACTTCAAGTGAGTGGGTAAAAGGGTAATTCTTTTGCCCCAGGAATGGTGTGCAGACAATGATTCCAAGCTATGACACACTAAGGACCAAGTACAAACAAACCAACTACCCCAAGAAGAGAGATACTATGCTACAATACATGCTCCAAAGCTTCTGGTGAGATTAGTATTGAAGTAGTATGCACATTCTGACTTGACCCAATTAGCCCTATGTCACGTGACCATAACCACACTTTCCCAGAGGGCACCACATCTCAGTAGTGCATTCACACAGGAGTCCCCTAGCTCCAGCTCCAATCCATAAATAACCAAATGAAAGGAAGTTTTACCTCAAGGGCTTTGCCTTTTCACATGGAGCCTCTTTCTTTCTCTCCATGTGCATCTAGTTCTACTTTCTTCACCTAAATCAGAAAGATGAACCCAGATTTCTCTCACCTAATTCCCTCTGCACCTGTTCTCAGCCCTGTTTAGAGGAGGAAAAATAAAGAGAAACTTTGAGCTTTGTTTTTCACCAATACAGTCCAGAAATAAGGAAAGACAGGTGTTTCCGCCTTTGCTTTTGAACAGTGGTTCTCAGCCTGTGGGTCACCACATTTTTTGTGGTCAAGCAACCCTTTTCACAGGGGTCGCCTAATCCTAACCCATCAAAAAACATAGATATTTGCATTATGATTCCTAACAGCAGAAAAATACATTCATGAAGTAGCAATGAAAATAATTTTATGGTTGGGGGGTTCATGAAAACATGAGGAACTATATTAAAGGGCTACAGAATTGGGGAGGTTGAGAACCCTTGCTCCAGAATAATTCTTGAGACTATCTGAAGGCTTTCTCTAGAAAGGCTTAGGTAAAAGTCATTTTTGAAACTCAGAACTTCATGACATTTGACTATCATTTCAGCTAGCATCTCCCTCGTGTATGGTTTTAGATGGAGACTTTTATGTTCTATAATCACTCCACCTGTGTGCTTCTGAAATATGCAACTTCTCTGTTCTACAATTCTGTGCAAACCACTTTTCAAGACAGGACCAGAACCCTAGGACATGACCTAAAATAGATCTTGAGGCCTTGCAGTAAGAATCTCCATGGATGAAGAGAATCTGAAGAAGGAACAAAATAATCCCAAAAAACAGAACCTGAAAAGCAAACATCAGGCTGGCAGAGCTAAATCAGAAATAAAGGATGTGGCCAAAAGCTGCAGAAGTGACTGGAATGATGAAGACTGGAAATTTACCACTGAAAACCAGCTCTATGACTGGAAAATCCCCAATTCAATGGACTTATCTTTACTGCAAGCCCCCTACATCCTTTCATTTGTTTCCACACATGAGACATATTTGAGTTTGCTCTTGTCTCCCCATGGGACAGCCTGCAGTAAAGCACTTTCATTTTTCAAAACTCTTGGCTTCTATGCATGTAGGCACTGAGAATTGCCATGTATCACGATATTGGCAAACTCATGTACACAGCAGCCCACCTCATCAATGATATGTTAGTTGTTCTGTGTCTGGCTATTTCTTCTGAAAACAAGTTCTCAAAGAGTTTTCATCAACATACTCTTGTGTTGGGAGAAAATAAACAGTAACTTTACTTTTAGGATCAAAGACCTAAAGATATTTTGTAGGTAATATTTATTATAGCTTATGTTTATTTAATCTACCTTCCAGTTCTCTCTCTCTCTCTCTCTCTCTCTCTCTCTATATATATATATATATATATATATATATATATATATATATATATATATATATTATGTGTGTGTGTGTCCTCTGCATTTCTCACATAGCATGCACATATGCATATATATATATATGAGTGCATTTCTATATATTATAATAACAGTGTGTGCACTGTGTTTTTGGTTTTTGCTGGTGATCTGATTATTAATAGCTTTTTTTTATCTCCAATGATTCTGTTCAATCTCTGAAGATTTCTCATTCTTTAAATTCCATTACAGTCTTTCAGCATAATATATTGGCATTCTTTTTGTACTTTTATATTTAGCATTTTATTTATGATTTTCAAAGTTTTAAGAGAATTTAAATAAAAAATGAAAGTTAAAAAATAATTTCTCTGAAACCCTCTGTTTTGGGAGTCCTTCAAAATAAATAGTGTTTCTTTCTGATTTTATGAAGGGTGGAGATCTTGGTATAATCATAAAAAGGTTGATCTGTTGCTCAGTCATAATGAAATAATCAATCCATGGTGCAGATTTTTTTTTAATCAGATGTGGGTTGCCAGCTTCATGCAGTATTCTAACCAGGCATCAAGGCTACCTACCTTCTCAAAGGCCAAATGTCTCAAGAAGAGAGTGTTAAAACTGGAAGTCATTTCTTATCTGTGAAAGATCACACAGTAGCCATTTTAGATTTTCAGAAGGACATTACATTTGCTGTTGCTGCTCAACTGCACAGTGGTGCAGAACAACACCATGTAATTAATATATAAACAAATGAGGCCTGTGTTCCTATAAAACTTTATTAGCAAAAGCAAGGCAACTCCTGAGTTTAAACATAGGGACTTTGACATCTTAAGAACAAAACAAAACAAAAAAAACTTTTAAAAGACTCATGAGTTGCAATATTTACAGGTAGAAATTTTAAAGATGCAAGTAGAAATAGAAGAGAGAGGATCTGCATTTTGTCTATTCATTTAATTGTATTGTTAAAGAGAATTCTCTAATTGAAAGGAACTCATTTACCTACTTGCATGTACTCATCTTCACCCTCTTGTGCCTTCTGGAAAAATGTATTTTATTAATTTTAAAAATATCTGTTTTATTTTGTGTGTGTGTGTGTGTGTGTGTGTGTGTGTGTGTGTGTGTGTGCCTAAATGTTAACATTTGAAATAGTGTACATGTGTACCATGCGTATACAGGAGCCTGAGGGGGTTAGAAGGAAGTCAAATCCCCTAGAACTGGTGTTACAGATGCTTGGGAACCACCCTGTGGGGTCTGGGAACAGAACCTGGGTCCTCTGAAAGAGCAGCCAGTGCTCTTAACCACTAAGCCATCTCTCCAGCTTCAGGAATTATATTTTAAAGAAGCAACAGGATTCCGTCATTCTAAGGGGAAGTCTTTAAAAGAAGCATGTATTATCTCTCTTAGAACCATTTGCTGTTAAGCAGAGACCCAGTCTGCTCTGCACTGACCAGAGCATACAGGTAGCAAAGGCAGCTTTCTATACTAAGGAAGCATGTCACTGGAGATGAAGAGAACAAATTTGTTTGACACTTACTGGTCATTACTTCCCAGGTGACAGTCACATCATATGTTCATTTATCCCAATAATCCTATGAAGTACAAGATGTTATTTACACCCATTTTAAGGTTCTCTAAACCCAGCCATAGAACATTCAAGTTACTCATTCACAGTTAGTTCCTTAGAGGTGGGGATGAAACTCTATTCCAATCTCTGTCTCCCCAGATCATCTTCACAGCATGCCAAAGCCTCATCTTTTGTCATGATCTCCAAAAGGTCTGGAAGACCAGGCAGCTTGGGAAACCTGTTGCAAGCTACAGATCCCAGAAAAACGTCCTCGTGCATTTTGTACACTATTTCAGGAGCTTCACATACATTTTGTACACTATTTCAGGAGTTTCACACAAGCCTGAATGAAATGTCAAGAGCTCTGTAAAGCCTTCC